TCAGCTCTGACAAGCACACTGGCATCTCTAAAATCCACAGGAAGACAGTACCTTGATTTTCTGTCTCAGTCTAGACACGCAGCGCCTCCCTAAAGCTTACTGCGCACAGGCACATACAAAAGGGCATATCTTTCAGCAAGAGCAATTCCAGGCAGTGCTCCTACAGTCCAGCAAAAAGCATGACATGTTCTTTCAAACTACCACCCTGTTTCCATCTTGACAACTTTACCAGGCAAGCAGAGGATTTGTAAAATCCTAGACAGTGTGCTGCACTGCAAGACCTGTCCCTCCTAAGTACAAGTGCCCTGGCAGGAAGGTAAAAGGTGCATTTTAAGTCAAACAACTGCATGTGGAATGAACAATACATATTAACACAGGGGTAACAAAAGAAACACAACCATTATCTGCCTGACAAAGACTTGTTACCTGCACGGTATCAAATGGAGCCATGTTCCAATGCTGACAGCCGGTGTCAAGCCTGTAGAATTTAATTTCTGTGAGACACTAGCCAACAAGCCATTAACAGACAGCTGTACGCTCTGTGAGATTGGTTCCTTTTGCATGACTAGGGCACCACAATAAAAAAAAAAGAAGAGTTTCTGCACTGACTCAAAAAGCTTTGTCGTAAAGGTTTCATTTGATCCTCGATTTGGGAATTTGCAGGCTTAGAAGCTCGCTCTACTGATCGGAGGAGAGAAAAGGGAGTATTTTGTATTTTGATCTGCAAAGCGCCACTTAATTTCTTCATTACCAATGTTGTCTGCAGCTCCAATATGGTGTGCAATAATTACATTTACCACTTAGGGGCAGCATTAACATAAACTTTGTAACCAATTGGAAATGCAGCCAAACCACCAAAGCACTTTGACATGCAATTAGACAACCCTGCTGCCCTCTGCACTGCCTGTGAAGATTGTATTAAGCACGATGAAAGCAATGAAACACTCGAACACGCACCGCGGGAACTCAGCGGACCATCCCTCTGTTAGTGCAGACAAGGACATCCCACTTTGGGACCAAACCAATTTGTGTTTTTAAGGAATGCGAAAATGGGATTCGTCTAACGAGGGTCCAGCCCACACATATTTCCATTGCTGAACAGCTGCTACTGGGAGAGTATGATTCCAAACTACAACACAGGAAGGAGAATTCAACTATATTTTCTGTGTCTCAATGATTTTATCAGTCTTCAAAATGAGGCACTAGGAATGTCTGTCATCCTTCACCTCTTCTTAAAGGAACCCTAAGCGGTGTCATCCAGGACATCAACTGAAAACATGACCATCCAAACGAATGAGAAAAATTCCACTCCAGATGTTTTTGCTGCAGTTCTTAATGGTGCTGACCTCTATCACAGATGCGAGCCGGGCTTTGTTCCTTGGGGTTGGGAGAATCGGAAGAAACGTCGGGGGTACGTTTAGTCATGTTTAATGCCACTACAAGAAAATGAAAGCTAAAGCCTGGATGACAAAACTCCCGGAAGGAAAGACAAAGGATGCACCGTGCATTTCAGGAACGCCCAGCTTGGTAAGAGAAATGGCCAGGCTGCAAATACAAAATACCAGGGGAACTATCGGAATTCAGCTCAGCCAGGCAGAACCTGCACACTCTGCACACAAGCAGGCAATTAGAGTCCCACCCTCAGTGCTGAGCAGGGGAGCTGTGAGTGGGCTACAGTCAAATTAAAGTCCCTCATTATTCAAATAAACACAGAGCGAGGAGCTGCACTTCGCTCATCTCTTGCAGAGCAGCAGACTGCCTCTCACCTCCCTGCCTGCCTCTATACAGTGCCCTCCAATTACAGCCTTTTCCCCTGCTAGTCTCATTACCAGCTTAATTCCTGGAATGTATTGTGTCCTGCGTACAGCCCGATATTCTCTGCTTGTATTCTTTTTATTCTAATTAGTGAGCGATCAATAAAGCAATTGATTTTGCAATACGTGAGACATAGGTCTACCAGCAGTGACATGGCACTACAGTTAACAAGGGCCTTGTTTTTACTGGGCATATGTGGGGGAAAGAAAGGGAGTCCGAAACTCCAGACCAGGAAGGAGCGTGTGATTTTTACTTACTCCCTTAGCTTCCTTACCTGCAAGACCCAACAACAAATGGCAAATTCTTCATTACCGAAGATAAAATGTATACAGTTCTGAAAAATGCAAACATTTGATCTTATCGCCTTGAATGCTTAATAGCTGGATGAGATCCTTGGATCAATAATAGTTTGGTACTAGCTACCAAACAGGCTGGGTGGACCAAACGGGCTCCTCTTACTTATAACCAATCTTATGTTCTTAAGAGGCGATTCTGCATACTGCATGGAGCCAGATCATTTAATATGGCTGACATACCTCAGACAAATGCTTCTGCAGCACTTACTTATGTTACATTAATACTCATGCAAACTGAACAACATCCGTTGTTTCTCTTACCTATTCCACATCTAATATTCATCCCCCCATGACACCAGCTCATCCTGTTCTTTACTTTATTACACCTAGCTGCCTGTCACTCCTGCCCTCTGTATTGATCAGCATTTCCAGGGAATATTCTTGTCACTGAAGAGCACCGTGGCTAGGGGGTGGCGTTCAAACTGCCTTGGAAAAACACTTTCGTAAAAAGCGCTCATCAGGGGTCTCCTGTTTCCACGAGAGAAACCAGTGCTGAATCTTTCAGCAGCTCTGCTTTCAGTATCTTCAGGGAGAGTTCTAAGAGGCCGGGGGTAGGGAGTGAAACTGCACCATTCCTAAGGAGATGGAATTTTATTTTGGTCTCGGTGGCTGTTAGTTAGACAAAATCAGCCCAGGTTCAATCTTAAAAACCAGAGGCAAAATGGACAACATGACCGGTCTTTTACTTTGTACCAGCCTGCCTCCCTCTTCCACATACTTGCCTGTCTCAAGGTCTTGATGGGGTTAAGTTTTCTCATATCTCTCCCTTAGAAATAAAAGGTCACCCCCTCTGTCAACATTAATATAAAGTACCCTCATGGCACAATGCTGGCTGATGAATATCTGCGAGGTTCAGCCTTTTCAAAAAGGCTCTGTGATATCAAAGAACGAAGGGTGGAGGCAGAGCTCACAAACAGTGGCACGCACCTGTTCCCTTCAAAGGCGCCGTCAGCCTGCGGACACACGGCAGCTGTTCCTCAGAACACATGAAAAGCGTATGGCTGTCGACACACATCAAACGCTCAGGCCTCTCCGGCGCTGAACTCCAACTCAGTCCGTGTTACGAGGACTGCTACGTACAGTAGATGGATGCAGTGCAAAATGGAGCAGCGATTACTTTTAAACTACCCTTGCTGAGAAACGTACAAAGCATCAGCCCGCTACTTCCTTCTTTAACAGCTTAAGTGCCTGAGCGCGCACTAAAATGCCAACAGCCGGTTCCCTGGAACGCTCTGTTGCTTTCCTGCCTGGGTTTCCCGACAGACGTGGCCGACACCTTGATCAAGCCAACCACCTGGGTCAAGTGTTTCAGCCTTCTGCAATCCCCTGCTGGGCCCACCTCTGCACTGCACAAGTATTCAACTTGAGCACCTGCAGACGAGGGAACGCTCAGGCTTGCTGCCAGTGCCCTGGACAGTGCGGTATATAACCATTCTCCAAAAACTCAACTTGTTCCCCCATAAAAAAAATGTATCCTCAATAATTTCTAGAACAATATCCAGGAACACGTGCTACTTATGCATAGGTGGAGTGCTCATGAATAAGGAATCTTTATATCTATCAAACTACAGGATTAATTGTGAAAAATGCCACTAAAATTCATCAGCAACTGTGCTACTGTGGCTCCCCGTCTTTTAATGATGATACAGAAAATTTGGGAGGAATACTTATTTTTTTCCTCACACCTTCTGAATGTCAAGATGTATACATCATTTTTATTTGGTTTAAGTGTCAATATATTTCATTCTTCAATCAAAAGGGACTGGTTGCGCGTACCTGCAGTACGTGTTGCCTTTTGGCAGAATTCTGTCCAGTTGTAAAAACAAGAACAGAGTGCTTCGAGGGGCACTTGTGTTTGACACAGCTATGTCCTAGAAATTCTAAAATTGCACAATCTTGTGTTTGTGTCACATGTGCAAATGCCCAGGAGTGTACAAGTCAATTAGCAAATATAAACTGTCTTTAAAAACTTCAAGAAATAGAGAAACATCAGCCAAGCTTAGGAAATACATTCTCAGATTTGTGCAGCTGGAGAACCACGCTGAAGGTTAATGGCACGGTGACCTTTTATCTATGGTGTCTCCTCTTCAATGGTGTTAAGAGCAAGGGGCTCCCACAGTGTGACTATTAAAAGACAATTACTCTTTCATGCTGTCTGCTGCTGCTGACTGCTGGCCTTGCCCACAACCAACACAGGCTACAGTATTATCTTTCAACAGGAATTTCACAGAGCACAAAAATCAACCGGAGCTTCCCTGCTACTGGTTATAATAAGGTCTCCAAAATTAGTGACTTATCAGAAGTTCACTGGTAAACTGACAGACTAGTTTAACAAGGACTTATGGATTGTATTTGCACGCACTGATTGCTAATCTCCCAACAACTGGTCTGGATGCTGATGGAAGCCTCCTCTTCCCTTTGTTTCCTGTACTAGTACAGGCATCCTCGGCATCTACCATATCTACGCCCATAATTAGTACATACACCCACATACCTCCAGTCCACCTTTCCTCAGCCAGATAGGTGAATATATACAAATAATCCACATGACAGATACACAATCAGATGAGAGAGTAACACAGATCAGTTAAATTGCTCTTACTGCATTGTGATTAAAAAATGTCATGACTCCAATTAGAAAATGTCTTTTCTTATTATAAAGGAAAGGGGTGGGACAGGATTTGGCCTTTCTGAGAATGCACTGGAAGTCTGGCACAGAGATGGAGATATGAAAATGAGCAATATACCGCTCTCTTAGCCCTGAAAACCCACTGCCTTGAGGCTAATTGCTAGACAGGCTCCTGGTAAGTAATGGAAAAGATGACTTACCTTCCATCTCTCTCTCTCTGGGTTGAATGTTCCAGACCAGGACTGCACCTAAGAAATAGAGAACAATAAGCTCTAAAAAACGTTCAAAGATTTAACTGCTTTAAAGCTGCAGTCTTCCATTAAGAACTGCGTTTTTTTCAAATATAGGCGATATTATTAAAAATGTTGCTATTAAAGCATTTTAAAGCCAAGCAGAAAATAATTAGTGTAAAAAGAATCTATTATTCAAATTTTACTTCTTAATGTCTTCCTACAAGGGGCAGTGCAGCGACTAGCACTGCTGCCCTGTAGCCCTGGGTTCAATTCTGCATCTGGGGTGCTGTCTGTGTGGAGTTTGTATGTTCTCCTCAGTCGCATGGGTTTGCTTCAGGTACTCCAGTTTCTCCTACAGCCAAAAGACATAATTGGCTTCTGGGGAAACTGTTCCTGGTGTGAGTGTGTGCATGTTTGTGTGTGTGTCACGCGATGGACTGACGTCCCGTGTCTGTGCCTTGTGCCCGTTGTTTGCTGGGGTTGACTCCACCTCCCCCAAGACCCTGTATTGGATATAGTGGTTAGAAAATGGATGGAAGGAAGTTTTCTTTAAGAATATCTTCTTTGTGTTCTGTGTGAAGGTTTAGTCTCTCCTTGTAATGTTTAACAGAGTTCTGGAATAAAACACAGCCTCTGAAGAGGCTTCTGAGAAAGTGTGCAGTGTAAGCAAATGTTGGTTTCATAATGCTGTTGAATCACTGGGGCAGCATTATAAGCTCCACTCCTCGCGATGCTGCTAAACTCTTCACACATTTTAATCGAAGATCAAAGGGAAAAGTTCCTACAGGCTATTTGTGGCAAAGCAGGATGGCAAATAGTGCAAGAAAAAGGAAATCTGTGTGGAAAATGACATGGTAAGTGAAAATGCAATAAGGACTGAAACAGCAAAACACATAGTTTTTTTAATTTCCTCCTACAGATGTACCTCAGTTCCAAACATATGGAGCTTTTTCACGCACTACTCCCACCACGCAATCATAAGCCCTTAGAATACCAAATCCTAATTTTCGCTTCATTTTTTTCTCAAGGGGCAGTTCTTGTTAAAATAAAAATTTCCTAATCAATGCCAACTGAAAGAGTTAACAGCCAAGACTTGATAGAAAAACCAACCAGAAAGGAGCATTATTCCAGACGCCGAGAGAAGAAAGCACTGTGTGTAGTGTCTTGACTTCCCGTGGATACAAATCATGAGGGAAATGATATACACAATGTTTCAAAATGCTTAAATAGGAAATCTGTTATGAGCTGTAGAAGAGTTAATATTGTTCACACTGTCAAAACTGCTAGAGACAATATAAGTGAAAAATCTGATCTTTTTACTTCCAAACTGATTTCAACCAAAAATGATTTGCCGACAGACCATGTTTATGTCCAGTTTTGTAAGAAACCTCCGATATACAAGGTAAGAATACCTTACTGCACAAACCGCTGTCTTGGGCACTGAATTACAGAAAAATCACAGTTGAATACACAAATGGACTGCAGTGTTACAGAGCATTTTTGTGTTTTTTCGATGGCAAGACCTTATCCTGCTGTCCACGCAAAGACGCAGCCTTCAGACAGGTTCGGATTTCTCCAAGGAAGGAGAAAGAAAAAGGAAAAAAAAAAAGGCCAGGCCTCCAGATTTTAATTGCCTCTGCACACAGGTCAATATTAGCTGTCAAATTAGATCAGGTCTCAGAATGTAGGACCTTGTGGTCAAATGAGCAGTGAAAGTTCGATTCCCATTTGAAAGCGTGCCTAACTGACGCTGCAGTATGTTAATTTAATGAGTTCTGAAGCGCTATTAAAAAGCAGGTACTCTACAGAGCAAATTAATTTAATTACATTATTTGTATTCAGCGGGAACTGCTGGAGCTGGCACTGACTCTGCACAACAGGCAGCCTCTGCAGAGACATCATACCCGGGCAGTAATAAAAGGAGAGATGAAACTGGTTCTCTAATTCCAGTTCAACAAGACGCTGACCTCAAGAGAGCCTATACCGTACCAACTCCTCCGTGCCGACTGCACACCGGCTCAAGAACACGGGTGGAAACCCACTCGTCAAAGGGCTCGGATCTTCCCAGCCCCCGGCGCTCATTTCGCCGGAGGATTAGTACAAATGATAATTGGACAGCCACAGCACTGCGTTCCCTGTTAACGGAAGCTGTTAATTTATGCAATCATCGCGCGTGCCAAGTCGAAACTGGTTAACTGATGAAACCATCGACATTTCCTCACGCTGCCGGAAAACCCTTTAATCCTCAATGGGCTTCCACACTGCAGTATAGTGGCTCCCACTACTCTGGCTGTACAACGGGGAAGAGGCAGGGCCGGGCCACGGCGGAGGATTAACTAGGAACCCGGTCCATTGTTCCCTCTGTGAGCCTTGAAAGGAAAAAGCGACACTGAAGGAGAACTGAAGTTTAACACGGGGGTCGGACTTCGGCGAGGGGAGACAAGGAGAGGGAGGGCCAAGGGGAGGCAGGAGGCCTCTGTTGGCACAGGTAATGCGGTGCTCAATGGGCTTTCTTGTCTTTTTTTGTACTGCTGGGATCAAAGACTACGCAGGGAAAAAAAAAGAAAGCTGCTGGAGATGAAGCATTACGACCTCTTTGGTTGTTTTTTTTTTCCCCTCACTGGCAGACCTGGAACTAAAAGCTTTGAGAAATGAGGTTAAACTCCAGCCATTCTCTGTCACAAAGAGGTAAAGCACCAAACAATGAGGTCTGCAACACTGCTGTGTTCGCTGTTCCCTGCAATCACAGACCACAAACGTCGCTGAAGAAAGTGCACTGAAGGTCTGGCAGCACTGTGCTGACACTTAACCAAACAACCAAAACCTTGAACGTGTCAAAGACATCTCTGCAGTAGCACAGAAAAGAAGCATTTTTGTGTCGAGTTCCTTTAACCACAGTTTACTTCAGACGTTTTTCCACCTAACCTAGAGTATCAGCTGGAAGTGTATCCTAAGACTGCGGACTGCTGCGTATGAAATATCTGAAATCAAATATGATTTTTTTTGCAATACACACCTCAGAAAGATGAGCAGAACACAGAGAAAGTTCCACCTCACTTCAACAGGTATTCCAGTGTCTGCAAGGTCCTCTCACTTTGAACTACATTTTTTTTTTAAAAAGCAAGCCTGGTCATCTAGACTTGAATGTCACATTTATTTTTTAAAAGACGGGTAGCCAGACAAACACTACTGACAAAGGAGAACAATGTCTGCTGGCGCCTCTCTTTTTCTGCGGGCTGAGATTCGGAGAGCCAGTTCCCAGAGGGTCAGAGTTGAGATACACACACACACGAACACAGGCGGGGGACAGCTGCGCCCCTTTCCATCCGCTGCCTGCCCTGGTTCGAAATGCCCTTCTGCCTTTCTGCTTCAGAGAAAGCATTCTTGGAGAGCTCAGCTACCTTACAAAATGTTCTTTCTTTTCTGTGCAGAATGTTGTTCCTGGACATTATTAACACTGAGGCTATTTCACTCCTTCAAGAGTAAGGCCTTCCGACTGTGCACAGCTAATTAGGGCTGCCTGCAGTGCTCTGAGGTTCATTAGTCATGTGCAGTGTGCTGTGCTGAACAACCACTGTCTGCAAAGGGCACAGATTTCCTTTTTTCTTCTTTCTGTGAATTGTACTTCAGGAAGACTGTTTTTTCACTCAACAGAGTATAAATCATACTAACTGATATGATAAAAGACTGCACTGGAGATGTAAGGCAATCATCATCTTTTTTTAACATTTCAGATTAATGCTATCAAGTTGAACGAATCTTTAACACCTTCATCCTTGATGCACATTTTCACAATGTTTTTTATAACAAATATAGAAACATTTTTCTGGTCAGATTATGTTTTCATTGCCAATAGTTTGATTTGAATAAATTCTAGAAATTAAGTAATTGTAATAATCAGGGAAACGATAACAATACACTAAAAACATTTTTATGATAGCAAATGATTGGCTTTAAATTGCAATTATTTATCTGTAATTATAATGTCTAAATTAGCCTTCTGAAATTTACAAAAAATAAAAAAAGGTTTTCAGGAAGGCACAAAGCAATACACTTACTTTTATTTCTACAGCTACTTATCTTTTAATCCACTGGAAAGAGCAAGATAATTCTGTAACAAGAGTAAAGTTTAGACCGCATTACATTAGATTAGTAGCAGGAAACAATTTAATAGGACAGGGCTCTGCTCTCAGATAATTACCATGACATAAAAATATAACATACAACAACATGTCAAGACCATCTGTGACTGCAAGCATGGTTTGGAAAATCATATCAGGAATGTGTGAATGTGGTGTGGAAAGATCAGACAGTTATATCTAGAGGTGCTCATTTTAATATGGCAAGGACCAGCATCAGTAAATAATCATTCATTAATTAAAGGCTAAGGGAAGGATTTTCAAAAGGTAGTGTCAATGTTAATTAACAATGCATCGATTCTGGCATTCTCAATAGGTTGCTGCGTGTACTTCCTTATTAAAAAATCATGCTAATCTGATTAATGAATTTATTTTGATGGATGAATATATTAACGATTGGTAGAAGCTCTGGACTTTTTGCCATGTCTGCGTGGGAATTTGAAAAAAGATATATCTGTGTTATCCTTGCTTTTTAGGAGTTCATGTGCTCCTGGATGAAGATGGTTTGAATTAATGTATAGTATGCACATACCACTGGTCTTGAAAGTGCACACTTTGGACTAGTTTAAGAGAAAACAATTATTTTTGGGGGAAGCCTCAAATGAAGACGCAATGGATTTGTTTATGGATAAAGAACTTCAGAAAAATAAACCATGGTGGACATCAGCCAGAGAGCGTGCAAAGGACTGTGCATATTATTTTGGATTTACCAGATGACAGTGTGCAGTCTGGATAGGTCAGCTATTGCCAGCCTTGGTTAAATGCTACAGAAACATCTTGGATCTAATCCACAAAGGTGTAGAAGAGCTCTGCAAATGAATAAGTCCTTTTGTGTCATATCGGAGAATCATGGCTGACTTGATGGGTCTCTACTGC